AGCAGTATATAAGCCTAGGTGCTATTGCTATTAACCACCAAAGCATAGAAGGTTGTAAAATTGGACACGACTGTAAAATTGGGCATGACGCCTGAAAAAAAACACCCCACTTCACAACTTTATTTAGTTGTTACATGGAAAATCTAATTTTTAACTTTTTAACTTAGTTTCTTAGCCTCGTTGGCTCAATGCGTCCTTCTTTCTGGCTGGTCTGATGAGTAAACTGGAAAGATACAGAAGGGGTTATAAAAAAAGCTGAGTTGGGATAGCGTTTAAATAGAGCTCACTTTGTAAGGCAGTCCCATCCTTTTGGGGCATGTCTGCTGCTATTTTTGCCCGTTGATGAATAAGCCACAATATTTGGGGCTAGGGAGCGTAGAGGAGGGGGAAAGAAGGCTTGTGCCTGTTTATGCCTAGCTGAGTAAAGGGCCTAGTCTGCACCATCTGCCTGAGAAGGAGCCTCTTTTACAGCCAACCGCTGCAGGTTCAATAGACACATTGTCCCAGAAGCTACTGGCTAACCGCAAAGTGATGTTAACAACCTGAAGGCCCAACTCACTTGTGACTAACGAAGAGGGATCCCTCTGTCCTAAATGTGGGCATAAATCTGTTGAAAGTGTCATGACATTGAGATTTCAATTTTGAGTTCAGCGCACGCAACCCAAGAAGTTGAGAAGAGTCCCATCAGATCGGACCAAAAACCCCTGATGGTCTTCTATAAGGACTCACCAACTCAATTTACAACACCTTAACCTCATAAAATACCTGGGAAATACTGATCTTTTTTACATGGAACTGCTGTTATGAGTATGAAGTAGTTTCTCTCTGAGTGTAGCCAAATTCTGCGATAGGTAAAGGAAAGGAGTCCTTGCAGATTTTACTCCGCTAGTCATTGCTGACTATAGACTATAGGTGCTCATCTCCGTTTCAAGGCCATTGAACCAGCACTGTCCGAAGATATTTCCACCGTGCCGTGGCCAGCATGATGTCACAGAGTGCTGTTACCTTCCCATCAAATTGGTACCTGTTTATCTACTTGCATCTGCATGTTTCCAAACTCCTAGGTTGACAGGAGCTGGAGCAGGACGGGAGCTCACCCTGTCGTGTGGGGCTCGGGGCTCGAACCTGGACTGCCAGCTTTCGATCCAACAAGCTTAGCATCTTAACTACTGAGCCACTGTATCACCCTGGTTCTGCTATTCTGCTATGCTGTCTGTAAAATTAGGCAAACTTTAACCACCCACTGTTAATCCCCCACCAATTGCAATATATTATTCTGTCTTTTACTTTTATTTTTTTAGTGTTATTATTGTTTTATTGCTTTTATTTGCTGGTCTGTCACTGTAATAAAAAAAATTGATAGGTTGATTGCTGGACTACTATCTTGGACCTTTACATGGATGCCTACATATGAATGATGCACGGCGATAGAAATCTGGTTTTCCCTGGATCATCTTTTTTTTTCCTTTGGGGCACTACAAATAATGAAGATGAGCATGATGTCTATCATAAATGAGCTTCAATGGTGACACCAGCAGGTTGTCAGAATAGGTGGGATAAACTATTTGGGCCCCCATTTTTCCATTTCAGGGAGAGGAAGATGAAACAAAGCAGCTATACATTTTCTGACTGAATGAAAACAAGACCAAAATTGGGCTGCTGAGAGTTAATTTTCAATGGCACCAAACTGGACGGTCCTGGAGTCTGCAGAAATACAGAAATGAGTGTCACGTTGCTCATTCCTGCCCATTCCTGCCCAAGGGACTCTAATATTTAGGAAGCTTATTGACCCTGAACCAAGCAGAGCTAAGCAGCCAGTCACTATTCACAGAGAGCCTGCATGCCACTTTTTAGCGTATTTGCCCCCCCCCCCCGCAATTCACATGTCTGGAATTCATCAACCAAAAGAAAAAAGAAAAAAAAACTTTCTTAAAACTTCACCGCTTATAAAGGAAGATATATATTCTCCCTCTGCTCTCTGCTCCCTCCATGGTCATTGCATCATCAACATCTCTGTGTTAGTTTTAACAATTCAAAAAGAAATGAAGCTCAAGTTTTGTAAGGAAAATTCCAGATAAGCTTCAGAATTAAGAATCATTTCGAGACTTTGTCACTCTTCCTAAAGTTGCTTTCTGAAAATTACCCAAGTTGGCATCGCTTTGGAAAACTTACATGGAAAATTCCGTAAATGTTACAGAATGTGTTATGAATCCATTAAACCTTTCCAAATTATTCTCATTTCCTTGTGAAGCAGGATTCTGGATTCTTTCAACCTCCGTTCTCATCCTGTCTCAAAACACTTTGCCTGATTATTTTAGGGTGGTTTGGTGATTTCCTCTTATAGAGTGATAGAAGGACAGATTTGCGTGCCATTTTTCTGTTGAGAGAGAATTACTTAATGGGTGACTATTGGGGTGATGGGGCAGGTGAACTAAAGCAAACAATGGGTAGGTGGGATTGTCTGCAAGGGAATTAAAAAAAGAAGTCGAGATGATGATTGAAAACGTACAGAGTCCCACCCTTTTTAACATGCTTGGTATGACACACATACTGTAAAAAAAAGCAAAAGCAGGCAGGATTTCAGACAGATGCAGATGCCATGTTAACTAATTGTCCCGCTTGTGGATAGCCCTGATAGGGAACCCAGAAATTTTCTCTTCTCTTCTCTTCTCTTCTCTTCTCTTCTCTTCTCTTCTCTTCTCTTCTCTTCTCTTCTCTTCTCTTCTCTTCTCTTCTCTTCTCCTCTCCTCTCCTCTCCTCTCCTCTCCTCTCCTCTCCTCTCTTCTCCTCTTCTCTTCCCTCCTCTCCTCTCCTCTCCTCTACCCTACCCTACCCTACCCTACCTCTTCTCCTTTCCTCTCCTCCCCTCCCTTCCCTTCTCACAGGTGGTCCTCATTTAATGACTAGCAATTGTCCAGCAACCATTCAAAACTATGACAGCATTGAACTAGTGGTAGTTATGACCATTGCAGTGTCCCACTGCTTTAAAGAGTTGGAGGATATTATGTTCAGTGTCCCCTCCCGCCACCATGTACACGCTGAAGCATCTTTATTGGATCTAATCTAAGTGCTGATCCAGCACCACAGCGTGTAGTTTAAAGCATACTATTCAAATACGGCATTGGCCATCAGTTCAAAAGGTTTTAAAAGGAGACTGGGTACATGGATGGGGTCTCACATTGGCATGGATACTTGTTTTGGTGCCTGCATACAATTTTTGAATCACAAATTGCACACCTGAAGAGAGAGCAGAAGTGGAGACTGTTATCTTCCTTTCAATGCTTATAACCTTCTTGGCCACTCTGTGTGTGCGTGCGTGCAGGCGTATGTGTGTGCAGGTGTGACAAGATGCTAGATCAGGCAGGCCTTTAGTCTGATCCAGCCTCAAAGTTCTAAAGTGCTTAAAAGAAGAGGCCATAAAAAGATCAAAGAATCAAAAGTCTTAAAGTTGCCATCAGCATTAATACCAGCTACTAAATGCATGGCCACTGCACAGGTTACAAACACATAGACGTCCCTAGTTTAACAAGATATATTGCAGTGGTGTTCATATGTACCATTATTTCTATGCTTGCATGCTTTCTTATGTGCAAATTACTGGATGCCTAATGGGATAAAACATGGCATCCTTCTTGGGGAGAAATTGTTCTTAGAAGTGATGCCACTTATCCACATCAGTAGATTCTGAAGTCAACCAAAAGATCTGAAATTCTGCTAACTTTCCTTTAGTCTACCTTTTATCAATCAATCAATCAGAATACAGCTGAAAGGAACCTTGGAGGTCTTCTAGTCCAACCCTCAGCTCAAGCAGGAGACCCTAGACCAGGGGTAGTCAACCTTGGCTCTTTTATGACTTGTGGACTTCAACTCCCAGAATTCCTGAGCCAGCTTAGTCCACGAGTCATAAAAGAGCCAAGGTTGACTACCCCTGCCCTAGACCATTTGAAATAGGTGGCTATCCAGTCTCTTCTTAAAAATCTGCAATGATGAAGCACCTACAACTTCTGAAGGCAAGCAGTTCCACTGGTCAATTGTCCTCGCTGTCACGAAGTTTCTCCTTAATTCCAGGTTGCTTCTCTCCTTGATTCGTTTCTATCCGTTTTTTCTTGCCTTGCCTTCTGGTGCTTTGCAGAATAACATGACCCCCCTCCTCCTCGTGGCAGCCACTCAAATATTGGAATACTGCTATCATGTCATCCCTAGTCCTTCTTTTCTCTAGACTGGCCATACACAATTCTTGCAACCATTCTTCATATGTTTTTGTCTCCAGGCCCTTCATCATTTCGGTTGCTCTTCTTTGCACTTTTCCCAAAGCCTCAACGTCTTTTTTTTTTTTTTTTTGTAATGTGGTGACCAAAACTGGATGCAGTATCCCAGGTGCGGTCTTACTAAAGCTTTACAAAGTGATACTAATGCCTCCCGCAATTTTGATTCTATACCTCTCTTTATAGAACCAAGGATTGCATGAGCTAGCCTGGTTGGAGCCACCTCCTATGTAAGATGCTCTGAATATTTATTTCAAAAGCTTATAGCCAGCTTGCAGTAATATCGACTGCATTGCAGACACTCTCCTTTTCACTCATCCCTTCTTGGTCACAGATGGAGGTGAGATATAGCTGCTTTTTCTTTTTAAATTAACTCGTGGTCCTCTGAGTCGTATCCCTTGGATCATACCTTCCTTTTTCAACCACTTGTGATGTACAATCTGGCTGGTTTTCCCTCCAGAGGATCCCATTGTTGTTGTTGTTTTTTTAAAAAAAAAATTCTTCATTTTTGCCCAAGAGCTTTCTTTCTTGCTTTCCCCGTTTCTTCCTTCCTCCAAGAGGTTTGGCTCCTACTTTTTCTCCTATCCCTGCCTCCCTCCTTCCCTCCTACCCCCCCTCCCCCCACTCCAGCCCATGTTTTATTTTTCCTGGATCTTTGCCTACCTGACTCAAAGTTTCATAGGACGATTCCACCAACTCTAGCTAGAGGTATCTAAAGGAGGACAGGAGGAGTCACAAAGCCTCTCTCTGCACCCAGTTGCAGCTCAACGTGGACTGTTACTTCTCTCCCTCTTTTCCTCATTCATTTCAACTTTCATTCCAAGATTAACGCTGCTGCTGTTTTTGCTGCTTTCTGACTGAAAATTTGGCACACCGATACCAGGAGCTTCCTTTTGGCTGGGGTGGGGGAATAGAGGGATAAATCAAGATCAAGGTGACCCACCCCCCAGAGAAAAGCAGGACGTCTGGAAGACTGTGAAGAAGACTTAGCAGGTCTTGTCAGAACTTATCCTGTCTTCCTGAACTGCCGGAGACACAACTACAAGACTTCTAGCATTCAGTTGGGCATATGGGACTTACCTTCTCGAAGCACTGATTAGCGAAAGGTAAGACGTAGTCTGTTCTTTCTGCTTTTGAACTTTTAAGGTGTCTGCTTGATAAGTGTTTCTGGATGCATCTTTTCGCCCTGCTAGACAGCCTCGGGATCCTACAGTGGGAGCAAATGTCTTCAGGTCGTGTTTGATGCTTCCCTGCTGAAATTGCTCCTCTGAAAAAAGGATGCTGGGCTAAACAGAGGACGCCTTCACCTCCTCCATCTAACCATGCAGAGTGTCTTTTAATGCCTACCTTGAAGGGGGGGTGATTATTTTCTTTGCCAACTCTTCCAATGAAGCGGCATCCATGAGATTCAGCTGCCGCAACAGAAAAAGTTTGTTCATGATGGATGGGTGGGTAGATGGATGCTTATTGTTGCCAGGCAACCAAGTAAAGGAAGAAAACTTACATCCAACTTCTTTCATCGATTTTGTTTTGGGGGTAGTGGGGATGGATCTGTAGACGGAAAGAAATGGATAATTCGATGATATTGCTTTATGAGCGAAGTGAAGTCCCATTACATTGTCCTAACAGAGTACTGTCTCTCTCTCTCTGTGTGTGTGTGTGTGTTGTTCTTTAGCAGCAAACTGATTTGGTCCAGCTCTAGGACCAATCTACCAGGAAGTTATGCTGCTTATTGCAGATTCTTATCATTATTATATCGCTATTTCTCTTGCTCCTTTAATCTACTTGGCATGTAACCGATTTAGAAAGGCACCATAAATGGGTCCTTTCCCAAATAATCTACATCTAGACTAGGACCACACTAAGCACTAGTTTCTTTAACTACAGTTTGCTCAGTAAAGGATTCATTGGCTTCACACAATGCATTAAACCATAGTTTACAAACCTTGGTTCACAGACCATCAAACCTCATAGCTTAGTGTAATGCAAAGTGAGGAAACAGAGATGGAGTGAGGAATGTTGCTAAATGCAAGGGATGCTTTGGAATAAGATCTCTCAAGAGAAGGTAAATGTTTATCGGAGTAAAGAAGTTAACAAGTTTGCAAATATGCAACTCTGATGCAGGCATATCTGCATTTTTAAAAAATGCACCATTCATGAGCTAAGGAATCAAAGCAGCACTAATTTTATGTTGTTACCAACCTTATTAATTGCACAACTACCTCATCTTTACTGTCTTAAAGAATCACAAATAGATTTTTCCCCCTTGTCCTTTATTACAACAACCCTGTGGGGTATATTAGACTAAGAAATGATGACTGCCTTGGCATAACAAGTTTATTCAGGTCAAGCAGAAACATCAGAGCTGAGTAAGGACATCACATTATGATTTAGCAGTGTTAGTTTTGGTTTTTCTAAGTGCTTTTGGTTTACTTTGTTCTGCAAGTTCACCTCACCTTTTTCATTTATGGTTTATTACATCATGAGAACCTAAAACATGGGTTAATCTACCGGCTGGGTCAAGGAATTTGTGTGAATATAGGAAGCAATTTATGATCACCTAGGGGAAGCTGTTATTAACAAATGAGGATTTAAATGATCTTCCCAATTCAGTGTCCAAGTGCTTGGTTGTTATTCGTTACTAAGGCTGAGTATTAAAAAATTGTGAAATTACAGATTTATATCTGCAAACCAACAGTTCTATTGTCCTTTGTGCTATGGCCCCATAATATTTAGAGATTTGTTCTTAGAATGTCGTTCTTTGATCTTACTTTGGCCTGTAAACTGTCTGGAAAGATGGTATATTTGGCAAATGTAAAAAACATATACAAATGATGAATGAAAGCATTAAGGGCTGGGGGAGAACACTGGCCTTAGATCCTGCTTTAAAAAAAAAAAAAAGTTTCTGGCTGTGAAACGTTGATCCTAAATCCCCAGTGAAATCTTACAAGGGCTAGAGTGACTAGGGCTTTAAAAAAAAAAAATATCCAACAGATCAGTTTAGAATGGCTAAAGACCTACTTTCTTTTTGAATGAATGCACAGAACCCTTTTTTTTCCCCAATGTGGTTTCATTTTAAAAGAGAATGTGTCATTTCTTCATGGAATCGGCTTTTTCAACCCCTTCATTAATCCTGAATGCTTGTATTTTCTGCCTGATGCCAAACCCCTAAACTTTAGCCTTAACCAATTAGGACTATGCTTTGCCCAAAGAGAAAAATGTGACCACATATTTTTTTAAAAAAGAAAGAAAGGAAGGAAGGAAGGAAGGAAGGAAGGAAGAAAGAAAGAAAGAAAGAAAGAAAGAAAGAAAGAAAGAAAGAAAGAAAGAAAGAACATGCATGGATTTGTTCCTTTATTCTGAATTAGCCTGGTTCTTTATGTGTTCTTTAAACTTTTTTTAAATTGCTAATGGGTAAGATCCAGAATGCATGTAATCGTTTATTTATGGTTAAAGGAGATTACTTTCCTTCAGAAATAAATCTGTTTGCACTGACCATATTTTTATGGTTTAAAAATAAGAAATGCTGCCACAGTTTCAGGGAAAATTTTGACAATCTTTTTAGAAGTAGCCCAAACCACCCACAGTGCACACTTTCACAGAAATCAGTCTTTATATGAATAAAACAATAACAGCAAAGGTTTACACCTATGACATAATCACATTTTGGTTCCATAGATATTGAAAATGTGCATCCTTCTCATGAAAACAATACCATAGTTCTCACACAAGTCTCAAACTAAAGCTATAGAGACACTTCCTCGTTTGTTAAAAAAAAACCTCATACAAAAGGGCTTAAAAATGTTTGCTGATTTCCTATAATCTGATTTTTACAATGAAAAATACCCGCCTTCAGGTGTGTATAATCTAACACATTTCTAAAAGTTGCTGCTGTATTGGGATATTTAAAATTGCTGGGGGGGGGGGGTAATTGCTCAAACTGCTGTTGAATATTTGTATGTGTGAGTTTGTTTGTCCCTGTTGGCTCCTCGCAACTGCCTCAACAAGTCCTTGCAGTTTTCTTGGCGAGCTTTTTCAGAGGTGCTTTGCCATTGCTTCCTTCCCAGGGCTGAGAGAAAGTGGCTGGCCAAACTCACCTCGATGGCTTTGTGTCTATGGTGGGACTAGAACACACAGTTTCCTGCTTTCTCACCTGGTGCTGTAACCACTACACCACATATGAAAGCAAAGGAGCTCTTGAATCTGATGACTTCAAGCATGGATTCATTCATGCAAAAAATACAGAAATAGTTTGCCCTGGCCTTCTCAGTTCAGCCTAGAGCCCTGGAATTCTCCAGTGATCTCCCATCCAAAGACTGACCAGGCACAGCCCTGCTTAGCTTACAAAACTCAAAGTCAGCGCTGCCACATCCAGAGTTGGTCAGTTGACTTTGTCAATTTTAATGAATTGACGTTTAAGTGAATTGACTTTTTTTTGTCCCTGTTTGACTTCTCTTATTAGTATTCCACACAAGGCTTCAGTTGCAAATTGTGCCTCTGGGTTTTACATAAAAGTCTCCCAAGTCCATCTGTTAGACTTATCTCCTGCATAGCCTTTAGGGACACACCTCCATTTTTTTCTCTGCACCTACTGAAAACCTACCAAGCCTTTTAACATCATAATGTCTTGCATCCCAGTCCAATTTCTGATATCGGAAGGTGCCATTCTTAGTGTTCCAGCACGGCAGGTGATGACCTGGCCTCAAACTGAAGTCTCCTGAACCCAAAACAGCAGTGGAAATGGTCTGTTTTGAATGTAGATCTTTTCCTCATTCATAGGGTGCTACCAACAGCCTTGTGAGACAGGTTGGGCTGAAATTACTGATTCGAAATTAACCCCAGCTTTGATGGCTGAGGGTAGATTTGAACCAGGATCTCTATTTTTCCCAGATCCAGCCTCCTAAACACTGCATCATGCTGCCTTGATCTAAAACAGTGGTTCTCAACCTGTGGGTCAGGACCCCATTTGGGGTCGAACGACCATTTCGCAGGGGTCGCCAAACAACGCAGTCTGCCATTTTTTCCCCCTTTTCCTTAGCTGTGCTACTCCCTTTTATTCTATTGGCTTTTGAAAGCCAATAGAATAGACTCTCTTGAATAGAGTCTAATTCTATTGGCTTTCAAAAGCCAATAGGAATTGTCCAGGCTGTCTCTGCCCTGCTGAGCCCGCCAAAAGTCCCATTCTGCAAACGGTGCTGCACCAGTTGAGTAGTCCTCGACTTACGACCGGTTGAGTAGTCCTTGACTTATGATCGGTTGGGGGTCGCGGCATTAAAAAGGTTGAGAACCACTGATCTAAAAGCCTGTTATAGTTAGTCCATTTAACTGTAAAACTTCCTAAGAGATTAGAAAAGGAAAGGCTTTGTCCTTTGGACTGAATTCTAGGTGATAAACCAGTAATTTTATCAATCCTGACGAAAAGTATTGGAAGCTGGGGAATATTTAAATCCTCACTTCTAAACATGCGAGACACTGTGCAAATTTGCAAGTTTTTTTTTTATGCTGTAGCTAGTAGGGTCACACTCTAGCTGGTGGATAAGGACAAACTGCCACTGCTGAAATGACATTGAATGGCTGAAGAGTCTGTAGCCGTTGCCTTTTCATTGTCGCCGAGATGGGTGAGACTGCGATGCTCTGTTCATTCTGGCAGGACTCCAGGGAGTGTTTTGAGTACAGAAGGCTTATTTCCACTCTTATTTCTCAAACAGAACAGCAAAAATGATTCCAGTAAAAAAAATTTGCACTGTCATCTGAGGTGAGCCTCATATGGTCTTGGATTCCTCTGCAATCTGCAATCCTTGCATTAAAGTGAGGATCCCAAGCTTATCTGCATTGTCCCCAGAAGGCTTCTAGATCTGGCATGCAAACCTCAGCAGCAAAATGATCTATTAAAGAGAAGAGGAGAGGAGAGGAGAGGAAAAAGAAGAGAAGAGAAGAGAAGAGAAGAGAAGAGAAGAGAAGAGAAGAGAAGAGAAGAGAAGAGAAGAGAAGGGATAGGATAGGATAGGATAGAATAGGATAGGATAGGATAGGATAGGATAACCTTTATTGTCATTTTTTACAGTGAGCACACTGGCACACATTAAAAATGAAATTCTGTTGCCTG